TTCTTTATAAGGAAATATTCGACATTCAATGACCGAGCAGTTAATGCTAATCGAGTTACGCTTTCCTAGACATTGGGCCTTAGATCAAAGTGTAGTATCTGTTCTCCGAATCACTAATGCTAATGGAAATATTAGTCGTTTCCTTATAAGGAAATATTCGACATTCACTGACCGAGCAGCCAGTGTTGCTGTCGGCTAAAATTTATCAGATCTTTCTCATAAAACAATTTTTTCAAGAAAATAGATTTCTCAAATCCAGTAACTGTTATCGCTCTTTCTAGTATTGATGAGGGCTTCGTGCGTTTTGACTCATTAAACATTTAAATACCGACAGAAAATCAATACGAAACATAGAAAAAATGTCCTCGTCGTTATCAGTGATCGCATTTTCTCACGAGGTCCAGTGCTCCGATAACTATTGGTACAGTCTCAGTCTTCATTCCCCAATCCCTGTTAATCTCGATCTCCAGGTCCTTATATTTGGACAATTTCTCGATAATTTTTATGGAGGTGTTTCTCTTAGATGGTATTGCTATGTCAAGAAGCATACACTTCCTGAATTTCTTGTCTTTTATGATAATACCAGGTCTGTTGGCTTTTATTTTTATTTCCTTGTCAGTTTGAATTGGCATGTCCCAGAGGATAGTTACATCGTTATTTTGGGTAACAGTGTCAGGTTGGTGCTCATCTCTCAGTGGTTTCGATTTTGTGCTTCTTGCATATCTTCCAATGCCGCTACCTTGTTATGTCTGTGGGTATATTCATTTTTTTGCTAGTACTAGACACCCTGAGATATGTTCGACAGTTCCATCATAATTCTCGCAGATCCTGCATTTCGGGTTAGTGCGATCCTTGATTATGTGATAGTGATAGGATCTGGTTGCGAGGCTTTAGTCCTGATCTGCAATAATTAGGCCTTAGGTCTCGGCTTTCAAACCGGGGCCCCTCAGCCACTGATGTGTTTTCTGTTGGTCTACATCTGCTTCTTTCGTTCTTTTTAGGTATTTACCATGCAACGCCTTGTCCTCCGAGTTTATATTTTGTAATTTCATTTGGCCAATTTGTTTTGCTTTCTGTTTTACTCATTTGGCGTAGATGCTATTCGCTTCGTTTTTTGTTGGTAGGATTTCAGGTATATTAAACTGTTGCTTGAAGAGTGCAGCTTCTTTGTTGATTGAGTGGATTTAGTGTTATACTATTTATAGGAGAGGGTCATTGGTTTTTGTGAGTTATATTTCCAATCCGATTGTTGTAGCTTTTAGAGTTAGGTGGATTACACTTCTTCTTCTTCTTCTTCTTCTTCTTCTTCTTATTATTATTATTATTATTATTATTATTGTTGTTATTATTATTACTAGAAGCATGGCCCGGCGTTGCCCGTGCTTGATTCAAAAATCGTACGACTCATACAGCAATCCTTATCACTTGACTTAAAATATTTTTGCCCTTCCTTGCCTTTAAAGGAGTGCCCTTTGCCGTGCTGATGTTGCTACATGCCTTATTTCTTGCCTATCTCACACTGCGAATTTTTCTAAGCTCTATACTAAACATTAATCTGTTACGAAAAAAGAACTAAACAAAATGAACACAAAACGATCAGCTTTAAAAAAAGGACTCGTAACTGGAAAAACCGAATGAAAAAAGAATGTTAACAACAAATACTTTTTCACACCCAACCCAATTCTGCGGAATCAGATTCAACGTTGAGTTTAAGCAAGCGAATGAGCCAATTGGAAGTGCCATGCAGATTTAAATTTTTCCCACTTGTAACGAATGCAGCTATCGTTTTTTGTTGTTTTTTTTTTGTTAACATTCGTGTCAGTCAGCTGTTGGCTCTCACGATGGCCAATAGAATCTTCCTGCTTATTCGTGGCAGCCAGCTATAGGCTCTCACTCTGGCCAGTAGAAAATGGCCGTAAACTACTTGAAAACTGCCATAGAAGCATGAAAAAATCGATTATTTCCGCTATCGATGGAAATTGGGAAATGCAAAGTCGGTTTTAAATATTTCCCGCTAACTTATATATATTATATGCATGTAAATTGTGGTGCAAATCCGTCGAAAATTGCAGCCGTACATTCGTTACACACACACAAACACACACACAACACACACACACACACACACACACACACACACACACATCCTGCCTTTTACAGATAGAGATTATTATTATTATTATTATTATTATTCATAATGATTGTGTAGTAGTAATAGTGTAAAGTGTAATAATAATAGTAATAATAATAATAATAATAATAATATCATTGATAGCTCTAGATTTTCATGTGTTGGAGGGATTATTTCTAAGTTTATTTTTACAATGTCTCTCCACTGTTTAAACTCCCACTGAAGACAATGGGTTTTTCCTCTTGCCGCTTCTGGCAAAAACGCCCTATCGTTTCCCTTTCAGTCTCTCTATCAGTCTTACTTGACAGTTTTCTTTTTCTTTCCTTGTTTTTACCGGATGATTTGCCGGTGAAAAAAAAAAAAAATGATGCGGAGACACACAATACATGGGCCCATCAATAACGAGGGCCATTAACGCCAGATACACCGGTTATCGCCGCCGGTGTCGGCCCACTTCATGTCATCTACGATAACACATCTGGAGTTGAATTGGCTGGCACCGTCAGCAAGACTTTTTCATACGGCAAACAATGTGTCTAAAAGCCTGGAATAATGTTCAGCTATCACTAGCCTCGCCAATGATTCCCATACAATGTAACTACCCAGCCATTTTGAAACCATCTAAAAAAACATTGACGAAAGCGTGACAGGAAGAATAGCAAAATCGAACGAAACGAAACAGAAAGGACGCCACAAAATAAATATGTGTCGGATAGTAAGGTTTTAAAGATGCGTAGGGGTAAGGTTTTAAAAGTGTGGGTGGTACGGTTTAAAAGGTATATGCGTGTGTGGGAGGGGTAAGGTTTTAAAGGCGTGGTGGTAAGATATCAAAAGTGTGGGTAAGGTAAAGTTTTAAAGGTGTCGGGTATAAGGTTTTAAAGTATGGTGGTTGGGTAGAAGATGGTAAAAGTGTGCATGGGTGGGGTAAGGTTTTAAAGGTGCCTGTATGGGGGATAAGATTTTAAAGGTGTGGTCATAGGGTCCGGATATGTAAAAGTAATTGGTCGGGTGCTCAGCTCAGAGGCGACTCTATCTACACACTAATGATGATGCTAGAACTGATGATGATGATGATGCTGGAACTGATGATGATGATAGAACTGATGATGATGTTGCTGAAACTGATGATGATGATTATGATAATGATGATGGAACTGATGATGATGATGATGCTGGAACTGATAATAATGATGAGAATGATGGAACTGATGATGATGATGATGATGATGATGATGGAATTGATGATGATGATGAAACTGATGATGAAACTGATGATGATGATGATGATGAAACTGATGATGATGAAACTGATGATGATGATGATGCTGGAACTGATTATTATCACTATTATTATTATTATGTTTAACCTGAAGATGATTATGATGATGATGATGATGAAGATGATAATGGAACTGATGATGCTGCTGATGATGATTATGATGATGATAATCCTGAAGATGATGACGATGATGATGATGATACTAGAACTGACGATGCTGCTGCTGCTGATTATTATGATGATAGATCTGATGATGATGATGATGATGGAACTGATGATGATGATGATAATGGAACTAACGATGATGATTACGATGATATATCTGATAATGAGATGGATGATGATGATTATGACGATGATATATCTGATTATGATGATGATTATGATGATATATCTGATGATGATAATGATGATGATGATGATGAACCTGAAGATGATGATGATGATGATGATAGATCTGATGATGATGATGATGATATTTTTCCTTGTATAATAAATTGTTATTACGATCCAATACAACTTAAGCTTCAGGTCTTGATTTATCTTATTATCCTACATCTACTTCTGATTATAGGTTGAGCCGACTGAATGGTTTTCATAAATCAACATCACCGAAAAGTTCTCGGCCCGACCATCTTCACAAAGTGTGACCAAATATATCTGGATTAGTTTACGTTTTAAGGTTTGTTTGCTTTGTTTCGTTTAACGGCATGTCAACCTCAATGGATTATTTAATGCCGACAAGATTTTTTTTGCTGGTAATAGTTTTACTTTAGAAAAATGTATCGCTGGTAACAATGTATTGCTCGTAATTATTTTTCCTCAAAAAAATTATTGCTTTTATTACAACCTATTTTTACACTTTCATAGTATTTTGACACCAATTTGTGGGTTAACTATTTGCCCATAGCTGGGATCCCCGAACATATGCTACCACCCCAGGTCAGGGTGGACCTGGGAACACCAGCAATTAAGAGGTGGTTCCACGCTCCTCAAAATAGCCTGATCAGAGGCCTTGCTGCTGGACGTAGTTTATCGTCTTACCATGGACCTGGATGTAGTTTATCGTCAAACCAGGGACGTTATGTTTTAATTATAGAGGAGTTTTCAGCGTCTCTTCGTAATTATTAACTTAAATAAAATAAAAATTATTAGCTCTTTCCAAGTTAATCTTTCGGTCTCGATAAACCATGGAAGCCCAAAGTGTTATGTGCTCTACAGGGCGCATGTCTGGTCACGGTTTCTTTTTATGAGAGATCGGCAGCTGTCCATGCAGCCCGTGTCCCCTCACCACGCCACCGGCGTTGTCCAATGGAAAGGCAGAGGCCAATGCAGCTTTTCACCGGTCTCATCGCACGAATTGCCAGAACAAAACTGAACATGAAATCGAACTGTCTTAGGGACTCCGGCTCCGGATTTGAATTCAGAGTGGGCATTCTCCTAGTCTGGTTACCAACCATGGCAACCAAACTAGGAAAAAATCGGAATCACTGGAAAATGATAGGAGCAGTGAACAGACACAGCTACACAAAATAACGATGTAACTATCCTCTGGGACATGTCAATTCAAACAGACAGGGAAATAAAAGTTTATCCGAAGAGGGACTGGAAGCCATGGCGCTCCACAAAGAGCCGGGCGAGGAGTCGTTTTGCTCGCTGGCTGACGCGCCGGTAGCGACAGGGTGGTGCCGCTAGCGGAGAACCGTAGCACAAACGACGCGCGAGGCGCGAAACGAGAAGGTAAGACAGAGAAAGAAGTGGAAGACGACAAGCGTCGGCGGCGATATTATCATATACATTATCTATATGACATCAGTCGGTCTCAAGATACCTTGGATCTGCGCCCGCCCAAAGAGTTATGCCTCACCCGCTAATATCTTCTCCAGTGAGTAGGCGTGAGGTGGGTTTGATAAGAAATCGGCAGTTGCCTATGCAGCACGTCTCCCCTCTGTCAACCGTGGAAACCAGACTTAGAGAAAACCGAAACCACTGAGAGATGGTATGACCACCAACCAGAGACAGTTGCCTAAAATAACGATCCAACTATCCTCTGGGACATGCCAATCCAAACTGACAGGGAAATAAAAGCCAACAGACCTTATATTGTTGACCATCTTCACCATAGTCTATGAATATAGAATACAGCGCAGTACGTAATCTGTTCAATGAAACAACGTTAAAGATTAACACTCACGAGTCAGACACTCTACTGAATCTGATTATATCGCCAATACCACCAGCAGCTGTTCCGTAATTTTTCAGTCTTCGATATCAAAGGCTGGCCGTGAGTATTCGGTAAAAAAAAAACATGGCCGCCTTTATACACGTCGCATTGAATATTTTGAGCCTTCTGATTGGTTAATCCTTCTATTGGTGAACTATAAAATGAGTCAGCTCATTTTGGCTGACTCACTAGTACACCAGGGTACCCAAAAATTCCAGCAGATATTACCATAAAAGACAAGAAATTCAGGAAGTGTATGCTTATTGACATAGCAGTACCATCTGAGAGAAACAACTTCATGAAAATTATCGAGAAATTCTCCAAATACAAGGACCTGGAGATCGAGATTAACAGGATGTGGGAATGAAGACTGAGACTGTACCAATAGTTATCGGAGCACTGGACCTCGTGCGAAAAGGAATGGACAATTTGCCTAGGTAACAACATACAAGTAGCCCAGAAGTTCACCCTACTAGGAACATCACATGTACTAAGAAAAGTGCTATCAATTAGATGGCATTTCTCTTGTAAGGCCTAAGGACCATGGCTTGGACCCGGCAATAAAGAATACAAGGCAGAGTCCAGGCTGCTCTACTATTTATATATAGTTGAAGGTTTTTTGAATTCAAAGTTTTTCCTTCTCCTAGACCAGTTGCCAACCAATGGCTAAAGAGCCCAGTCTTTCCACCTATACTCATACAGATATTAAATATCTGAGAAGTGGCTTAACAGAGGATGAAAAATATGACATCGAAATCCGAAGTAGCACTGGAAAAGAAGATTGATGAAACAATATGTAGTATCTATTTTTCCCCCATGGGAGTAAATGCTGGCCAATTTTCTTCACAGATGAACAGGAAATTTAAACCAACGACGTGACTCTACAGAAGGATGCTAAGAATATCATGGATGTGAGTAACAAGGAGTTTTTTACGAAAATGTAAAAAAGGACACTTACACTCGAAATCAGAAAGCGACAGTTAACATTACTTGGATGCATAATGAGGAAAGCAGGCTTAGAAAAATTGACACTCACAGGACAGATTGAAGGCAAGAGGGGCAGAGTGAAAAAACTGAGCAACCTACTGAACGGGTCTGTGCAAGTGGATGGCAGAACAAGGAGTGGGGGTTAATAAAAAGTAAAATACTCTTAACAGCTGCATATAATAGGCAGTTGTGGAGAGCCATAATCACTCACGTCCTGAAGGGACACGGTACAGGTAGTATAAAAGATGCAACACCTGCCTGTTTCTTTTTCTTTTATATCGGAAGTTAGTATCATGACAACGTTCCCGTAATAAATTTTGTCAGAAAGACCTGTTGGAACTGTTCGTTAACCTTAAAATATTTCAAGAGGATATTAGAATTAACTAGAACTAGCAGCATGGCCCGGCGTTGCCCGCGCTTGATTCAAAAATCGTACGACTACAGCAATCGCTATCACTTGACTTAAAATATTTTGGGCCTTCCTTGCCTTTAAAGAAGTGCCCTTTACCATGCTGATGTTGCTACATGCCTTACTTCTTGCCTATCTCACACTGCTAATTTTTTCTAAGCTCTATACTAAACATTAAATCTGTTACGAAAAAAGAACTAAACAAAATGAACACAAAACGATCAGCTTTAAAAAAGGACTCGTAACTGGAAAAACCGAATGAAAAAAGAATGTGAACAACAAATACTTTTTCACACCGAACCCAGTTCTGCGGAATCAGAATCAACGTTGAGTTTAAGCAAGCAAATGAGTCTAATGTAGATTTAAATTTTTCCCACTTGTGACGAATGCAGCTATCGATTTTTTGCATGCTAGTTAACATTCGTGTCAGTCAGCTGTTGGCGCTCACGCTGGCCAATAGAATCTTCCTGCCTATTCGTGGCAGCCAGCTATTGGCTCTCACTCTGGCCAGTAGAAAATGGTCGCAAACTACATGAAAACTGCCGTAGAAGCATGAAAAAATCGATTATTTCCACTATCGATGGGAGTTGGGAGATGGAAAGTCGGTCTTGGCCTTTCCGCTAACTTGGAGCATGTGCATGTAAATTTTAGTGCAAATTCGTCGAAAATTGCGGCCGTGCATTCGTTACACACACACACACACACACACACACACATCCTGCCTTTTCCTGACAGAAAACTACCTGCATAGGTATAGAAAATGAGTTCAATTAAATATACGAAAATGAAAAGGGGCTGTAAGACAAGGATGTGTCTTCTCACCGGACTTACTCAACCGATACAGCGAGGCGATTCTGAGATAAATAGAAGTCCTACCAGGATTTATTATCGGTGGCCACAATTTTAACACCATTAGATATGCAGATGGTGCAATGCTGATAGCAAACACAGAACAGAAACTAGAAGAACTCCCAAAGGAAAGCGAGAAGAAAGGACTACCTATCAATTAGGGGCTTTCTTTCCGAATCCTTCTGGAAGGATTGGCAGAGTAGGAGAAGTATGTTTTTCCTTCCGGGATGAATGTTGAAGATGTAGTATCTGCTCCGTGCTGAAGCCTACTCTCCTCCCTTGCGTCCCGTACTGTTGCGTAACATCTGGCTAGCTTAGACAAGTTCTGACCAGCTTAGACGAGCTATGACCAGCTAAGAACAGCTTAGACAAGCTAAAACCAGATTAGACCAGCGGTCCGAGTAGAAACACTAGGGTCTCCACATTAAAAAACCGACCTTGTGTCACAACCTAAATCAGTTTGGTGGGGGCTAAGGTAAATCTCGGACTAAATATCAACTGCAAGAAGACAGATGGTTGTTAGCAAAAGGGACCGCCCAACATGCAAATTACAAAGTGAAGATAACCAAATTCAAACAAAGAACACCTCTATAAATAAATGCATCTGTCAGTGTGTCACACTTTTTCAACGTTACTCCCAGAGACCGTAGCCCAACATATCATACCATTTTGGAATCAGGCCGGTTCTGTGAGCAAATGA